TAGTAGCGTCCTTGCTCATAGTAGCGATGCCAGGAGCCCCTAGTAGCTTCTGTCTCCTAATTCACACACAACTGAATTTAGGGGGATGGTTTAGGACTCCCTATGCTACAAGGGCGTCCCTTCCAATTCTTTTAGCTATACGTTGTGTATGGAGTCATACAAAGCTTGTAGCAGTTTCAATTTCTTTGACTTATAAGTGTCTGAGCTGCTTATATAGTTGGATTCATCAGATACACACCCTGTGAACACATTGCAATACAAACCATCGGCATTCACCATTTAGGATTGCAGTAGTCACACCATAGTCTGAGCCAAAGACATCTAAGAAGCCTTTTCATGCCTTCACAATCCATAGCCCTCGGAGGGGGTCTGTGATGTCAGCACATGTTCTAATTACGTGTGGTCGAGGCAAACAGTCACTGGTCCTTCTTGTTCCACAAGCAATCCGTGCATGCAGTAGGCACGTTTAGAGCGATGTTTGCAGTTGAATCGAGCAGATCTCCAGTTTTGAACGTCTCAGAGGGCAATCCTGATTGGATGCACAAACCTGAGGGTTGGGTAAACACGAATTTCTGGAGGATTCTGAACGATCTGAATCCTAAACCCTAAAACCTCCAACCCAAGAGCGATGGCCTCCAGGTCTACGCACGTGAGAAGGATGTGGTCTTCACCCCTTCCCCTCGCTTCGCCCGCCCCGCCAGGCGAGGGATCAAATAGGGGTAGCTTCGCAAGGCCAAGACCTCGGCGACCGACCCATCGGGGGGATTTCAGACGAAATGGAGGCGATGCCCCCGCACCATAGCGTCCGATCGCTCCGTTCGTAGCGATGCCGGGAGCCCCGGCACCGCGGCGCGTCCTTGTTCCTAGTTCGTGGGTTTTCTCGGGCGAAGACCAGCGGGGATTGAAAAGAAACACGAGTCTTTTCTGCCCAAACGCTGATCGGCATCAGGACGCTACTACGTCTACTACCCTGTGATTTATCCTGGTGTTAAGTCTCTTCGTTTTTGAAAGCCCATTGACCCATTGATGTGAAATTATGACAATCCACTTTCCGACCTGGCCACTCTGGTCAAAGCCCTTGAAACATCCATGTGGTAAATAATTACATGGAAAAGGGGTTGCACTACTTCGTTCCCAAGTAGGTCCTGAGGAAGCACACAGCAACCACAAAGATCACAAGGAACTTGAGCATACCCCTTTCATAAATGCTTCTTGTAGCCCGTAGCAGTAGGTGCGGCTTGGGAGACGCCTAACGTCAACAGACTGTCAGCGCAGGTCTTGCACATTTTGCTTCAGTTCACATCATTTCGCACCCAAGCTCTTTGAGGATCCAATGACGGCAGCCCTCGTTGGAACCAGCTGCTCCGGCCCTTGTTGGAACCAGCCTCCTTGGACCGACAATTCTCGTTGCGTTGACCCCCTCGTCCGACGGTCGTACCTGTGGGCCAAGGAGCCGTGGAGCTGGCCACCTGGCGCCAGAAGAAGCTCAGCCCGTTGTGGCGGAAAGGACAAGGTGTGAGGCAAAACGTGGACCGTGGACAACAAAACTCCATTTCAACGTGAACCGTCTGGGGTCACTGTTCGCTGCGTCACTCCTGTGAAGAGTTTTAACTTTCAGCCCCTGTTTGTTTCAAGCAGGGTTTCTGTTGACCAATGGAACACACCCCATCAGCAGTATCAATTCAACACATCTTGGCAGTCTAGGCATCAAACACAAACTTATGTCAAGTCAAGTCGATCTGTTGGAGAACTGAGGTCAGCAATCCACACGTTGACGCTGAATTAACGAGGTCAGCGTGGGTCTGTGAGCGCCTTTTCTCACCTTTGGACACATCAAAGACCAGCGCCAAGACTTGGGGACCCAGGCCGCAAGTTTGGCATGTTGCTGCATCTCAAGTGGGGTTCCCAGGAATCAGGAATCCAAAAAGCCGCATAGAAGACCAGCTTTGACTTGTAAAGCACAGCATTGGTTGTTGAGTATGCCTAGGTTCCTCTTGCATGCTTCCTGTACTAGGAGCGCCAGACACAATCTTGTATCTAGCATAAAGACATCACAGCCTAGAAGGGGTCGGGCCCCATTGGTTGTGCAGGTTTTGTGGTTTTGCGGTAAAGTAAAGGACATTGGTAGATGGGTCGGACCCATTGCCATTGGCTTTGCAGTTTTCATGCAGGTGTCCGATTCCACATTCACCCTGTGACTACTTTTTTGTCGTCGCAGCTTTTGTCGGATGCTCATATGTAGCTGTGGCTGGTGTATTGTGGGGCAGCGTGGTGACAAACGCGAATTGAACACTTGACTTTACATATTTAAACACGGCCCTAGCCTGTCATAACCCCTGGGCAGGTAATTACATATATGCACCTGGGAACTTCTGCCTTCACTGCATAGTTTGGTGGAGGAACCCTAGTCATTCCGAATGTCAAAGCCATCGATGGGTCCTGCACCTGAGTAGGCTCCTCTAGTTCTCTTCGCCTACAAACCAACATAAACCCACCGCAAAGCATGCGGCTCAAAAGACGTTCCTAGGACCTGGTCTGGACCAGCCAACCCCCAGCAACATACCAAGCCACTAAGCCTCACTAAGCTTCACTAACAAGCAAGGTAGCATGAAAGCACCTGCGAGCTCTTTTTGACATCTTCAGCTGCAACTGCCTTCCCCCCCTCGTCGAAATCAAGGGGGCTTTCTTACCATGATCCTTCATGGTGTCATTCGAATTGCACTACTACCATCCACTACATAGCCCACCAAAAGCACCCTAAAATATCCTAAAATGCCAGATATTCTTGTCTTTTTGCGTCGAAGCACTGCCAGCACTTGCCTCAGAGATCTCTCGCACGATGTCCGCGCCACTCTCACCGAGGCCCACAACCACGCACTCCTCATGAGACACAGCAGGTAGGTCAACAAGACAAACAGAACAGGACAAAACGGCTCTTCGTCGCCACCGGCGAGATGAGACAAGAAGCAACAAGATCCAGTAATACCCTCCGAATCCTCTGATCGAAGCAACCAGATTTCCAAACACACAAGCGATGTCCTAAACGGACTGCCAAATTCCTATATAGATCGAAACGCACTGCCAAAGCCGGGGACCTGCCTTGCCCTCAAACGGCGCGCTGTTCTTGTAATAATTACCTCAAATATCCATGCCAGATGTTGAAGGCTGCGAAAACAACAATCGTCAATTTCTTCAAGCCACCCTATGAAAATTGTCATCCCTTTTGAAGCCACCTGTTGTCAATCCACCAGTCAATGCTGCATATCAAAGCGGATTCTCTCGAGAGCCCCAATCCAATGAAACAGCGATCCAGCCACTCACTACCTGGGGGCAGTATGTCTTACCACCTGACATACTGGAGTTTACATGTCCACAGTGGAGTCACGTCAGTTCAGTTTCCGCCGAGATTGTCGATTGGCAAAGGAGTATGAGTAACAGTTTCTACTTGGACATGTGACATGTGCCATCAATTTGCTGGCACTCTGGTGCTCAAGCTCTTTGAACAAAGGGACTCCACACATTCACAAAGTGAAAAAAACACAACAACAATTGCACCTTATAAAGTCGTAAACAAAGACTCCACCGCCACCGCTGATTGAATGGGTTCTCCACTCCGCCCATGCAGTTTTCTCAGTGGTGGAGCCTTCCATGAACTGTTTTTGGACTCCTAGGCTACTAAGGTATGTTCCTAAACTCTAAACCAATTGTCCTATCGCCTCACTAGACCCACCTGAACCTATCGAAGCTTCCGAGTGGCTATGGATAACCTGGCAGATTCGACCGACATCAAAGCGGCTTACAGAAAAAGTCACCGCCGATATCCGATTTCACATATTTTCACACGGATTCCACGGTAAGTTACAATATCAAAGCACTCTGGAGAGGAAACGGTCTTTCAAAAACCTTTTGCCTCTTCCATCGTTGCTGTTGTTTTGGATAGAGGATGCATCGACAGGTGTCTAGCCAAGTGGAAAAGGGAGACGTGAACCAAAAAAATGTGCTGAATTTGGGACAACAAAAGTTCGTACGCAAGTAAATGATCGTCCATGAAGCTGGATCATCTCCCAATGAACGATCATGTGTGTCACACCAAACAGGAACCTGAAGTCACCGGCATGCAAACAGCCATGAAACATACGACACCACGATCCTTTCCACTCGCCTCACCCTTGAAGCTCTCTAAGCCGGGCAAGGTGGGCTTGTTGATGGCTTGGTGGGCGCCAGAGCAAACGGCCTCCGGCGCGGAGCGTGTGTGCCAGGATGCATGTCGGAAATCGTACTAGTGAGAACTAGTGAGAGGACTTAGTAGAGAACTTAGAAGTACTTGTCCACTGAACGGAACACCCAACAGGAATATGGAATAACACCGTACTTTATATATACTGTAAATCTATATAATATGCATGTTAGATCATGTTAGATGTTTGTCTCTATGTGACGGTCAAGCATGTTCTGACGAGCTTTGGTGGACCTGCTGGATTTGTCAGGAGTCGGCTGAAAAAGGGAACCATTGCACCAATTGCAGGGTATCTAAATAGCCTTGAAGAGCCAAGCTACATAAATTTATTGGACAAATACACGTCAAACATAAAATGCGTCTGGAGCACAATAGAACGCGTTTGAGCTTAGAGCCGACCTGCTGTTGCATTGAAACGAGACAACATCCAGAGCTACACACTGAGGTGAAGCGCAGCGAGGGAGGGTTATTTCTGAGCAAACCTGTGACACAAAGTTCCAGTCGAAACCTGGGTGCCCCGCCACCGCATCGTAGATGCCACGATCCAGCAAGTGACCGGCAGCATCTTGGGTCACGACATGCCATCGGCCTGGGGTCCGCTTTCAGGGTTGGATGGCTGGGATGCCGCTTTCGGAGGGTTGCTCTATAGAAAGTTGGGGCGTTCGTCTCCTAGCACCACGTCTGGTCGGAGATTCACGGATGATCCGTGGCGGTGTGGTGGAATCTTTCACCGGTCTGCAAGCTAGGATGGCAAGCAAAAGGCACAAAGTGGATGCTTTGCGGTCACGTATTGCTCAATTATTTCACACCAATACACACTCTAATCCACCTCTTTCGAGACCTTGTCCTAGAACTTCTGAATCAAATCGAGGCAGCCAAACGGAAATGACCCAAAAGCACACATTTCAGGGGTTGGGTTTCCTTCTTCTTCGGGCCACCGGGGCCGACCAGCCTGGACCACCTTCCACTGAGGCGACCTGAGGATCTGACGTCCAATGGAGTCCAACCTCCAACCCTCGAAAAAAAAATGCAGAAAAAGTGAACAAAAAACAACGCATGAACCCGAAACACCAGGTGTTTGCTGGTCAAACCTGTTTGGATCCTGTTGGGATCCACTATACCTGGTGGAGGCTCCTGGCAGTTCTGAACTTTTGCGATATGCCATGCAATAGGTCCATGTAGGTATGCTACAGTATGAGGTTCCGCTAATAATACTCATTGTATCATAACTACTCGCGTGTTGCAGAATCCTCCACCAACCAGAACAAACAGTCAACCAGCTTATTGCGTCCAATCAAACCCGTCCAGCTGTGTAGTGACTCTCCACCAAAGAAATGCAAATGTTCTGGAATCTTCTTGGTATCTTCAGCAGCGAATTCAAGTCCAAGACCGTCCCCTTCAGTCGGACCGAGCATCGAAGACCAGGTTGACGAACTAATGAAGAAGCACTACAGTTTAAGTCCAGCACAGCTCCGGGCTGGAGCTGATCCCCCAGCAGAGATGTTCTCTCCAGTTTTTTCCTTTCTCAGCCACAGCTGTTGGGAATGAACACGTCAATCACAAAGCAAGTTCCCCTTTGCTGGAATGCAGTTCGCAAATCGGGTTTGACCTCAGCATCTCCAAATGTCACGTGCATTTAAATAAGATCGCGGACAGAAACAAACATAGTTCTTGTTAATCCCGAGTATCTATTAATAAACACTCCCCAATTAAGAAACACAACGTCCGAAGCCCTAAATTCGGCTTATATTTGTTTTTAAATTACCGCCCTTTCAAGCCGCTACTAAACTACTCCTTCCTCCAATGGCACGGACTCACGCAAACGCACTTGCCTCCGAAGTCGTGCAAAACCGCATGGCACAGCCTCAAGAAACCTGATAAGTACCTATAAAAGTGGTACCTCCACTATGGGAGGGTTTATATACCAGGTATATACCAGTTATATACCAGGTATATATCATTATTCTATGGGAGTGGTATGGGAGTGGTATAGGAAAAATCCTTATAGGAGTGGTATAGGGAATGTAAGTCAGTGGTATGGAAGTGGTATGGGGAAAATCCTTATAGGAGTGGTATGGGGAATGTATGGGAGTGGTATGGGAGTGGCTGCCAGGATGCTTTGAGTTTGAGCAGATGCACCCACGTGCATAATTCTCCCATAACTTTATAGGAAAAAATACATGTCTCCAACTCCTTGTACCTATACTGCTCCCATGCACAGGTACCAAGTTTGCAGGTACTTAACAATACGGTGGACAGCGACATCACCTTTCGAAAGCTTTGGTTGTTAGTCTAATGAAGAATCAATATTCTAATAAAGGTTTTTGTAGGGGAAAAGGAAGACCCTTCGATCTGGAACAGAAACAGAGCTCAAAAAAGACCCAAGGACGGACATGTCATGTAGGAGCCTGGTATTTTGGGTTGGAGTGCTTCTCAAAGAAGGAGCAATCATACATGATGCACAACCCGAAGAGTGAGCCACTCTTGATGAAATAAACTTGATACATTGGAGAATAGACTCCGATAGACTCCGACAATTCGCTCGCACATCCCATCCCCTCCGTTCACAAGGTCTGGACAGTCATATTGAAGGAGATGTGCCTGGGAGCAACATTCCTTTTTGGACCATCTGAGATCATCTAGAGCGACTTTCTACTAGCCAGCTATCAGTGATGGGCGCCATGACTTCTCCGCATGGTGTGATGCTCGGAACCAACGAAGCTCTGGCGAGAGAGCGACGAGAGAGCGACGAGTCATATAGAATAGAACACCTCTCAAGCAAGAAGGCAAACCACTCATCCTATCTGAGGCTTTTTTGGATCCATTGCTCATCCTTCTTCTGCCCAGTGATGGCATCTGTGGCTCAAATGCACACCTGCCTCCACGAAAGGGGTCGGTCATCCATGAGTCTAGAGCGTTGCTGTCTTGCTCAAAGACTTCCGGACTTGGTCAAACTCTTTCACACTTCACTTCAGTTTTTCTCAGGATCCTACCACAGGCAAGATAAAACATGTGTAACTAAGCTTGCGAGCTCCTCCCAGCGCATCTGAGTGCTTTCCAATCTGTTCCGGGTTGGCCAGACCGTTCCAAGCCAAACTTCTTGGCATAGTCCTCCAAATACCTGACCGGGAGAGGGCTCCAAGCTGCATTTGTGCAAGGCTTGTGAGATCTCGCATCCAAAGGCTGAAGGGTTCACCTCCGAATTGAACAGATCCTTCGCCGGCGTCAACGGAATCTCATGCTTTTTTGTGGCTACAACAGTAGAAGCAACAACAAAACAAACTCAACCGCTTACTTGGAGGTCATTGCCTACCATGAAGGTGACTGGGAATGTCTAGACCAGTGGCCTGTTTGAACTTGATCTGTAAATTGTTATCATGCACACAAATATCGCAAGCTGAAAGACTCTCTTTGCAAGTTGCTTGCCCCTTAGGGACAACAAAGTCCGTCTAAGTCTAAGGTTCAACCGGTGGGGCCTTCAAAACCTTTCGCACAATGCAATGACTTCATTGCCGATTCAGAGGTGATAGATATAATATCATGAACTACACACTGCCTTCCTTTTTTGGTCTGTAGGAACCCCGAACTGTGATTTCCCTCCACGACATGGAATGTTTGACGCGATGAAGATCATCCGGGCAATCTTAACATCTCTGGTCAATTGGTGCATTTGGTGAGGCACCGGTTACATGTTCCTCCACAATACACATTGTATATTATGAATGGCGTCAACACCCTTAGTCAGGAATACCTAGTGTATCCTAGTGTTGTTTGGGCACGTGGGATTGTTGGAAGTGTGTGCAGATTATGTGTTTGCAAACCCACACTCTGAAGTGACCTGTCTACCCTGCCTCCGGTACTCTGAATGGTGCCAGTGGTAGCGGTGCCTCAGAGGTCCGAAATGGCTGCGAAGCGCACTGGCAACGCGCAAAGAGGGGCACTGTTTGTTGAAAAACATGTATAATGGTGATGAATGATGTTTGAGGGGAGTCCAGTGAAGCAATGGCATCCGCAAATGTCCATCAAATATACCTACGCTCGAGTGTGAAAATGATGAAATTGTGAACGGAAGTACTACCTGGAGTGCGGA